TTTTAGACTGAACAAATTCTAAATTTTAATTTTCTGTATTCTATCCCGAGAATGACGTTTCTGACAGTGTCAACTCCCGAGCTCATATTGTATCCATCTACTATAGGTATTTATCTTGTGACTTTAACCTAACTGTTTGGCAATTAAGGATTTTTTTCTTCTTTTAAAATGTCAGTGCGTTTTTTTTTATATGCCGCTAACATCGTGCTGTGCTTAGAGATTCTTGAAATTAAGATTCTCAAACTATACTTGTACTGAAAATTATTCTGCCTTAAAATACGGCGAGAATTTATCGATCGAATTTACTTGATCGAAACATGAACTTAACATGAAATTTGCTATAGAATTTAGGAATACATATATTAATTCCATAAATCCTCCATTCACAATATAACATAATATTTTCTAAGAAAATCCTTGGCTTAAAAATACATGAATTGTATTATTTAAGGTCTGAAATTTTCTTAGTCATTACATGTTTTTCCTGGACAGGCGCTGCAGCGCCCAAAACTGACGCTGCAGCACCTATGGCTGCCTTGACAGCACCAAATGGTGTTGTCAAACTCGCTGCAGCGCATTAAACATGCGATGCAGCGCTTCCTTGCCATTTTCTTTGTGTTTTAAGACATATTACAATCTCTCTAACATAATTTGAACAACATGTTACTAAGTTCAATCAAGCAAGATATGTGCCAACAATCCCAAGATTTACTAAATGTTTTGTTCAAAAGATGCAACAAATAAGTTGTTAAAAAATAAAAATAAAAATAAAGAAATTCTACCGCTAATACATTGTAACAACTAACCCATCCACTAAACACCATTTGTGCTAGTCTCGATTGGCAAGAAATAAAGATTACAAAGAATGCAAAATTGATATACCTGATACAGATTTGACGGTTCAAAACCTATTGATACGGAAGAAAAGAAAAAAAGTTTGACCTCCTAGCCGAAGGAAGACCATAGTTTGGAGGGTAGCCGTTAAACTTAGCAGATCGAATGGCTTCAATGAGTGCCTCCTCGGCCACAGGAGTAGTCCGAAAGGACGAAATCGAAGAAGGGTCGCCGAGGGCGAGATGAACCGTTGGCCTTTGATCCTCCTCAGGCAGATTTTGTTTAAGTACATAAACAACATCTCTTATATTGATGGTTTTTGAAGCTTGTGCAATCTTTTTCTGCTCTTGGTTTTCAGCTAAACCCCATTTCTAATGATTTTGTTTAAGAAAAATTAGTTATAATGAATGCTTTTTTTTAATAGTATAATGAATGCTTTTGAACTAAGAATCACAACCTATATTCATTATTTTATTTTCCTAATATTATAATAATCAGCCCTGTTCTTTATAACTTTATTATAAAAAGTATACAATCTATTTTTATGTACTTCAATTTTTGACACTTTTTATTTTAAATTTTTTCTATTCAAATTTTGACTATATTTTTATTTTTATTCAAAAAAATATGCTGACTTAAATTTATTATCTTATTATCCTAATGTTACTATTAACTATCTTTATTGTGATTAACATTATTCTAATAAGTGTACAATTTATCTTTTTTAAATTGAAAACACGAAATTGATAACGTAGGTGTATATTATAAGTAATTTTTTAAAAATTCATTCTGATTCTTGTTTAAGTAATCTAATAATGAGAGTTTGAGTGATTCCAATTATGAATTTTTTAATGTAAATAAGTAATTTAGTCTGACTTTGATTCCTCTCATCGCCCATTTCAAATCTCTGTACTCTGTGTTAGTCAGCATTTCCGCAGGCATTAAACACGCAATAAATTCAAAAGCTCTCCCGAGCCCAATCTCGCCTAAGCCTAAGTTTGCCAAAGCTCAAGCTCTCCCGAGCCCAAGCTCGCCAGAGCCCAAATTTGCCGGAACCGAAACTCGCCGAAGCCCAAGCTCTCCCAAGCCCAAGTTCACCGGAGCCCAAGTTTGCCGGAGCCCAAATTCGCCGGAGCCCAACCTCTCCTGAGCCCAAGCTCATCAGAGCCCAAGTTTGCCAGAGCCTAAATTCGTTGGAGCCCAAGCTTCCTGAGCCCAGGCTCGCCTGAGCCCAAGCTTGCCGGAGGCCAAACTCTCCCGAGCCTAAGTTCGTCAGAGCTCAGGCTCGTCAGAGCCCAAGTTCTCCTGCGCCGAAAGTTCAAAGGTCGCGTGATGTCATCAAGTGAAGTAACCGACGCTAATTGAAGATATTGAATTATTGAAAATTAATTCTCATTGATTATTTATCAATTTTAACTCACAAAAAGGTGAAGAACCTCATTGTAATTAAGAGATAATAAACTCTCGAATTAATGGGAGAATTAAACTCCCTTAATCCTAATGTATTATAAATTCCCTCAATTTAAGAGGAAATGTTAGACACTCATTTCTGAATATAATTGCATTATGATTGTCTTCATTTTGTTTTTGTTATTCCTTCAGAGGTTCTTTTTGTTCTTCGAGTGTTCTTTCAATTTCTTTAGATAATTTGCTTATTCAATCCAAATTATTAGTCTAAGGACATTGGATAAGTGTTGGATAAAATTTTGCTCCAATACTCTCTGAGTTATGTTCATTCTGATTAAACACGCTATATATGTAGTTAATTAATCCTCTTAATGTAATGGAGATCCACCTATAAAGAAGCAGCATTAACTTGACCAACTCTTAATCAATGGCGCATAAGCTCATTCGGTTGTTGTCAATGCACCCATCAAATTCTACAATCGGGGCACCCTCTTTAGGCTTCTCCTTAAAAACATGTTGCTACAAATAAGTATAATATGCCTCCAATAAATAAGAAAAGTTGACAAAATTCTCTTCGGGTTTTGGAAATTGTTAATCCCTTTAAAATTCTTATGCTCTGATACCTTTTGTATGATTTGTCGTAATTCGTAAATTTAGACAACATGTCAACTTTATCTTGACAAATGATTCTTCTCGACTATTACCAGCTTTATTTACCAAAGGAATTTTTTATTGAATCTCGCATTAGGAGCGCAATTTTAAGGGATTGACAATTTGAGATTTATTTTCCAAACGGCCATCATTTCAACGAAATGTATACCGTGAAAAATATAATATTATTGTTATTTAATGTAATATAGACATTATTTAACATAATAATACAGTTATCTAACATAACACGGATACAAAAAATTGAGACGTAACACCAAGAAATTTAATTATATGATATTATTTGCTACAGTTTAATTTATTTATGTGACATAACAAGGATTTTAGAAAGATATAATAATAATAAAAGATAATTAAATATCTTAGGTCTTATTTATTTCACCGATTCAAGTTTAGAATTCGAGTTTTGCTACAGTAAAAAGCTCTCAGAAACAGTCACATTTAACTTTTTTGCTACAGTAAAAAGCTCTCACATAAAATCACATCGCAACTTAAATTAAAAACTCAAATCAGCAAACTAAGTGAGCCATTAGTGTCTTACATTTTCAACATCGGTGTTAACATTGAATAAGGATCATGTTACGTTTTTCATTTCTATATGTTACGTCGGAGGGACAGTGTGATGCCCAAAAATTCTCACACACGAGTTGGCCAATGCATTGCATCCATTTATGACATAATATACATGATTTATAAGTTTGGCATGCTATTGAGATGCATTGTTATGTTATTAGTGTATATTAAGTAGTTGTTGAGCATAATGTTTTAATGAAATGACATGCTTGCTCGAAGGTGGATCCGGTAGGTGGAATAGTAGAAAATAGATTTATAATAGTGGTTTTTATGAATTACAAAGAGTTTAATTGGTAACGAAGTTTTTTTTTTTTTTTTAAAGGTTAAGTATGGATTTTGTTCATTAGTTGGATCCACATGTGGTACGAAATTCCTTACAAAAAGAACATAAGAGTATGAAACCAATTACAAGAGGTTGATATGGAATTTCACATGAACTATTGAACTAGAACACACTAAAAAACCCTATTTTGCTCAAAATTTGGTGCTCGGGTTTTTGAGTCTTGATTGAGGCTTTTGTTAGCTTGTAAGTGACTTAGGAAAATTTATTATCTCATGCTTGAATATGTTAGGAAGCATTTTACAAATATTGGTTAAGTTTCAATGATGAACGGACATGAACAAAAGTGGATCATTTTAGTCATACCAAGTTTTTTTTTGTATATGAGCAAGTACACCTAAGTTAGTATGTCAATTGAATGGTTATGACCTACTATGTAAATGGGATTTAGTGTGAGTGTGTAACACCCTATTAAGAAGGTGACTAAGCAGAAATAAGGGACACATGACCAACCAAGGTGATATTCCTTTATGATGACTAAGCTGCCTCTTTGATTGCTTAAGGGATATAAGCTACTAGATCATTCTACACTACACTTACTCATCTTGCCCGACCTCTCTTTGACAGAAACCCCCTTCCCAAGCTGTTAACTTAAGAAAATAAGAATTTTCTTGGTGGTTTGTCAAGTTTTGGATGCCAATTTCAAGAAAAACCTAACCTACTCAAGGTAAGGGCCTGTTTTGGTTTGTAAGATGTTTGGTGTTGGTTCAGTGGGTTTCGTTTGAATTTTACTGAGATATTTACACCACATAATCTTTGATATGTCAGGAACAACCACATAAAAGGATTTAATCAAACTCAATTGGGAGGTGGTGGTTTCAAGTTTGTTTTGGTGGCAGCCCTGAAATAGGTTGGTTCTACAAGTGGCTTGGATTTATGTTTATTTCCCTAGGCTAGAGAGCTCCGTTTGAGCTGAAATTTTGAGAGAATACTATCCTAGATGTTATCAAATAGACTCTAAAATATCTCATTAAAATACTGTGTAATTTGGGTGTTATAACCTTTTTACCGAACATGGTTTAGTAAATGGAATGATATTGTGATTATGAGCATATTTTATTTTATCTTGGGATATTACATTCAAAACAGGTGACTTTTGGCTTTGGGGAGTGTTAGAAATAAGGGGTAATGCTGTCAAAATTTTTAGAAAATTTTTGGGATCAAGAAGGATCCAAATTTAGGGCTAAACCCACCCCATAGCCGATACCATGACCACTGGATATGCCAAGCACGCCCTGGCTTGCGTGTAGGCAAGCATGTCTACAGCCCATGCTACGTGCAGGTGACCCTGCTGCATGCCTAGCATGCCCAGGCATGGGCTGCAACCTGCGTGTTATCCCAGACTTAAAAACTGTTCCTATCATTTAGCACTATTCCGGCCTTGTGCTTTATCTTAGATTCATGAACATTTACAAGACTAAACCATGGTCTTGTTAGGAACGGCACCATTCCTTATGTTCACTTAGGTGAAGATTCAAATTATATATCTAGCTACTATGAGACTCGAACTCCATTAAGAGTATAAACTCAACCTCAACCACGTAGCTATTTTTGCACCGACATCTTAGAAGGGACTAATTAAAATTCGGCGCTAACTCGGTCACATAACAATAATTTGTTTTTACCCATTTAACTATGGAATAGCGGTACAACTATTACATAGTTGGGTTACCATCATCGGTGACTCTTTCAAAGAAAGGTTTTAGTCCCATTCCACTAGATGTTTCTTTGACTAAGTCTCTTGAAAGATCTTTCGTCAAAGGATCTGCTAGGGTATTGTTTGTCCTAACATAAACAATATTAATAACACCATCGGTTATTAATTATTTCACATATTCATGTCTCAAGCTAATATGTCTAGATTTTCCATTATAAACTTTGTTATAAGCTCTAGACAAAGTAGCTTCACTATCGCAGTACAAAGAAATAGATGGCATCGGTTGTGGCCACAACTCAATATCAAACAATAGATTTCTCAGCCATTCCGCTTCTTTGCCTGCAGCGGCAAGTGCTATAAACTCACTCTCCATCGTAGAGTGAATTATGCACGTTTGTTTCTTAGAAGCCCAAGAGACGGCTCCTTATGCAATTGTGAAAATCCAACCGGATGTGGATTTATTATCACTTGCACTTGTTATCCAACTTGCATCCGAGTACCCTTCAAGTACGGTCGGATAGTCATTATATGACAAACTCAAATTAATGGTTCTTTTAAGATAACCAAGTACTCTTCCAATTATATTCCAATGTTCAATACCCGGGTTACTCGTGAACCTAGACATTTTGCAAACCGCAAATGCTATGTCAGGTCTTGTACAATGCATAGCATACATTAAGCTACCAATCGCACTAGCATATTCAAGCTATGCCACCGCTCGGCTTGCATTCTCTAGTAATTTAATACTAGAATCATATGGGGTATTTGCTTCTTTAAACTTCAAATGATTGAATTTAAGAAGCACCTTCTCAATATAATGAGATTAACACAACGAGTAAACCCCACTATGCTTCCTCACTCTTACACCTAAGATAGTATCTACCTCACCAAGATCTTTCATCTTAAATTATGAAGTTAGATATCTCTTGGTATCATTTACCCTTTGCATGTTTGTTCCAAAGATAAGCAAGTCATCAATATATAAGCATATAATCACACCAAAACTATTTGTAAATTTAGAGTATATGCATTTATCCGCATTATTATGCTTAAAACCATAAGATAAAATGACATTATCAAATTTCTCATGCCATTATTTTGGTGCTTGCTTTAAACCATAAAGTGACTTGACTAACTTGCAAACCTTCTTTTCATTTCCAAGTAGTACAAACCCTTCGGGTTGTTTCATATAGATTTCCTCATCAAGATCACCATTTAGAAAAGCCGTCTCAACATCCATTTGATCCATATGCAAATTGTATATTGATGCAATTGCAAATAGCACTCTTATGGATGTCAATCTAGCTACCGGAGCATATGTATCGAAATAGTCTATACCGCGCTTTTGTTTAAAACCCTTAGCTACCAATCTAGCTTTGAATGTTTGTATAGACCCATCGGTATTGTACTTTCTTCTAAACACCCATTTGTTGCTTATTGGTTTTAATCCCGGAGGAAGATCAACCAAGATCCAAGTTTGATTCGAGATAATCGAATCCATTTCATCATTCACGGCCTCTCTCCAAAAAGAGGCATCCCTTGAAGACATAGCTTCATTAAATGTCTTTGGATCTTTTTCTATATTAAGCAACAATGGTATTTTATTAAGTACACCATTTTTATCTCCTTCAACCAAAAAAGTTAAAGTTTGAGATGAAATAAAATCCGGTGCTAAGTCCTTTTCTTTTCTTTCACGTTGACTTCTTCTCGGTTCGAAAGATGTCATAGACTCTTTCCTTTTATTAGTGGAGGTACCGGGAATGTCAACATATGGTCGATTAACATTAGATTCTAATTCAATGGAAGAATCAAGGCTAAACTTGTTCTCAACAAATTCAACGTCTCTTGATTCCACAATAACATTAGAATCTAGATTTAATAATCTATAAGCTTTGGAATTTTCAGCATATCCTACGAAAACACTTTTAATTCCTCTAGCTCCTAACTTTGATGATTTAGGGTCAATCATTCTATAAAAAGCTAGAC